CCTATTTAAAAGAAAAGCCGACATGAAGCAAGATCAATATGACATATGACGACTGATGTCGTAGGTAAGGAGATACTGGCGAGATGAATTATACACTAATGCAAGTTATTTGGGCAAAATAATGTTTAAAGTTGATTTGAGACTGTCCACTTATCGCCAGAAATTTCACAGTGGCATGAAAAATATAAAAGTCTCAGACACTCTCTTACCACGAGAAAAACTGAAGCAACTGGGATGGAAGATTTCTGTAAACATCGACATTTGAAACAAAAGAATATCAGAAATAGTTCTGCTTTCTTTAAGTAAACGTTCATTCTCATCGTCTTTCAATCGCTGCCACTCCGACATTCGAGTTTCTTCTTCCTCTTTTGTCACGACTCTCTTCCCGGAGAATCTACGGAGGATTGCAAGTTGCTACAGACTTTAAAGAAATTTATTCATAAAGCATTGTACCATCTTTTCTTTTAATATTTGGTGAGGGAATATTAGTGTTTGGCACTAGGCTTTAAACTTCATATGAGTCTGCACAGTCCATTTGACAAATTTTTCAATTTCATAGTCATGGTAACGACAAGCTGGATCTATTTTCATCGCTTTCTGAGTGATTAAATCGTTTGGTCACATAAATGTACGCAAAATCATCTGAGCATGCGCAGTACGCTTGGAAATGCGCAGTACAAGCAAAGTCTATTTGACCAATTGTCTGAGTAAACGATCATGGAAATGACCAACTGCATTTATTAGAATCAATTAGGGAGTAGATAACTTGCTTACTAGCAAATTATTAAAGATATCAACTGAGCATGCGCAGTTCACTTGACAGTTTTTGACTTCATAGTTATGGCAACGACCAGCTGCATCTACAAGCACCGAATTTGAAGTAAATAGCATGCTTAGTAACAATTAAATGGATAAATCATCTGCGCATGCGCAGGAGCATGCGCAGTACATTCGACCAATTGTTTATAGTCATGGCAACGATTAACTATATGTACTTGCACTATATTTGTGGCAATTAGCTCACTTAGTCGCAAATTATTAAAGAAATCATCTGGGCATGCGCAGTAGTGACTTTAATAATACCGCAACTTTCGTAAGCCTCTGAATTTTTGTATATATATATAAAGCCAATATTAGGTATAGTAGATGTCAACTAGCAGTGGAAGCTGGGTGCGATATGTATGCAGTGGCTTAGGGGTCCAGACGTTTCGGGTCGCGACCGCACTCTCCCTGCGTACCCCGAGCAAAGCCTATCGCAGGTGATCTCGGGGTCTGATGGGCGGAAGCTTGCTATTGCATCTCCCAAGTAGGATAGCGTGGAGGGCCGAAATCTCCTACCGAAACGTTAACATGCGGCGTTCTAGTGCCTCGGCTTAAGCAGGTATCGGGAAGCATGGACCGAAAACAGGGTTTTGCTTTTGAATTTAATCTTTTTTTGTATAAAAGAAACTAGAACATTCAAGGATATTGCAAAAGTTAAAAAATTCCGCCTTAATGACTTATAATTTAAACCAACTGTAAATATGTTTATACGCTTTTACATGTTAACTTTTACAAGGTAACTATCTCATAACTCTCGTGATGAACGAGAGCCTCTTATACAATATAACTTACATATCATGAACAAAAGTATCCATGAGCTTCATGGAAAAAATGGATTATCTAATTCTTATAATAGATTTTACAAAGTTAGCATTTAATAAGCCAAGCCATTTGTATCGTTTAAATTATACCCTTATGTCATAAATTCATTGTGAATAATAACTTTCTTTTTACCTTATTTTCACGGTTCAATCTAGAAAGTAACTTTACATTTCGAGTGATTTTACGGTTAAACAGTTAACTTTTCGGATTCATATGACTTCTTTTGATCGCATAGAGACAGCCATCCAATTTATTACGTACATGCATGTGTACTTTGCACTTCATTGCAAGAAACCACCCTACCAACAAATATCCAAATCCGATTTTAGCAGCATCGTACCCGAGAAAAGCCTATCGCAGGGGTCTGATGGGCAGAAGCTTGCTATTGACATCCCAAAGTAATAGGGATATTTGCCACCTTTCAATTAATAGGATATCGAAATGGACCGAAAAAGGGATTTTTGTTTTCAAAATTTTCTCTTCTCTTAAAGAGTAAACAAAATTAAAAATTCTCGCAAGCTTCCAACGGAAAAGACTCACAGCTTATAAGGCTTTGGGGCAATGCGTGGGCTACAACAGGAGAGGCATTCTTCATTAAAATTAAACTAACATTGAGAAGAGGCTTCCTCCCAAACAAATGCTAGCAACAAATCCACTTTACTGCTGAGGATATTTTGTTTCTTTTTCAATGTGCGCAGAAAAAAATCCAGTTAAGAGCAACTGTTGCATCAAATTTCTCGTTGTTAACCGCGAAAACGAGGAAGTCAGTACGTACGTAATGTAGCATAAAAACACCTACTGTAAAGTCGATACATGAACGTTCCAGCCCCATCCACGCATCTAGCATCAGGAATTGATTCCTCGACTTCGGGAAAGACGGCGAACTCGTTGTTAATCCGTCTTATCTAGGAAAAAAGAGTAGGTTTGGGTTATAAAATATAAAATTATTTAACATTGAATTGGAAAACCCTTTATATACGTTCTAGTAGATTAGTAATGCTTGCAACATCGATTAAGTAACCAATTGTTTATTAATACACATGAATTTGCTACATCAAAAGCGAAATAAAGCCTCGTGCTCAAGAATCTGTTGTAAAATAAACAATAAATATCCATTGAAAAACTTGTATTTAGCAATATCGTAAAATGTCAATAATTTAGTCCAAATATCGATAAGAGGGCACCGAAGAAAACATTTATTACTGGATAGTAATTCTTTCGGAGAAAATCGCTTCACTTGCTCTAAATCATAACAATTCACCTCCAATTGGCTATGACATAAAACTTCTTTATGGTTTTATACCTTGTGTACATTGAAATAATCCTCTCCGTTTTCAATGTTGGCAAAATACTCGCATTTTCTGCATCGAGAACTTGAACATTTTACGTTTTCAGACACGACGCTGCCCTTGAAGTCCTATAATGGCATTTGAAACGTACCAAATGTTCAAACTCTATAGAAAAGTTCAAAGTCATAATTAACTTTGTGACTAAGCTTCAATATCTTACATGTTTGTGCATGTAGATCGTCCAGGTCAGTAGAGTCCTGAGAAGGACTGTTGGTGTTGATGTTGACTGACGTTTCGACAACTTTAGTGGTAGTTATCTTCAGAGTCAAGTGAGGAGTAAACGTCAGGTTTGCCATATTTGTTATCTGCTTGCAGACGTTTACTCCTCACTCGACTTTGAAGATGACAACCACTAAGGTTGTCGAAACATCAGTCAACATCAACACCAACAGCCCTTCTCAGCACTCTACTAACCTGTACAAACATGATAACGATACTCCCGAGCTCAAACAATTCACTTGAATATTTTGATAAATTATCGACTTGTTACTCACCTTTGGCAAAATAAAGTTTTCAATTGCTTTAAACGACGAACCGTTTTCTGTTGTACCAGGGTCTTGGAAAGAGAAATAAACAGATATAATTTCGCTCTGAAACGAGATAAAACAATTTAGATCAAATAACTTGTAAACGGTATTTATAAACTGCATGGTTTAACCTTAGTTGTTCTGTCGTAGAGTCGAACAGAAGAGTTTCTTTTTGAATTCAACGATGATAAAGAGATGCCAAGACGAGTCAAAATAATGGGACGGATGATCTGTATAAAAATAATTGTATTGTATTGCCAACCCAAATTTTACTCCTGAAGCCAAACAGACACTTTATGCAACAGGTTTCAGACTTTGTTCAGAAGGTCCCAAAAGTTCAATGCAACAGTGTCCGTTGAGCAGTTCTTAATGGCTACAAATAACTAACTAATACTCACATCAAAGTCCCATCCGATAGATCCACTGTGAAAATATCTCAAATTTTCTTCATTTGGTCGTTTGTAAGCAATTACTTCATTTTCGTAGTCTAAACATCAATATGACAAACATATAAACACGTTTGATCATGCACTCGTTCCAGCCTCTATGACGGTAAAATCTCCATGAGAGATAGCAACACATATTTCCATCAAGACTGTCTGATCTTCGCTACAAATACATACAGCAATGATAAATTCGCAGCAGTGGCTGATTAATAATTACGGAGCATGTAGGCTAAGGCAAAATTACGAGGCCTGGTGATATTTAATCCCTCCACTAAGCTCAGTCTCTTGACAACGTTTGCGTTCTTTACGTTCCTTTGCCTTTGCATTTCCTAGCTTGCGTTTGTAACACATAGTGTGAACGATACAAAAGAAATTAATAGTTCAAAATAAACTTTAAAATTATCAAAACAGTCTGCAGAAATAGGAAATCCTCGTCAGTTCTTAGCCTCGCGCATTTAAACACTAGATGGTACGAAAGTCTTTTCGTCGATATTCAATCGCACGTACGGTTTTCAACATCATAAATGGTCTAAAACGGCACTTTTAGCAAGTTCAAGCAGCAAAAGTAAAACTAACAATGTCTTGGTTTACTTTTCGTAATGAGTAATCCGCAACTGATTAACTTTAAATATCACATGTATAGTAGGTTATGTTCGACGTTTGTAAATATGTGCCTCGTTACCCATATCGCCTGCATCGAGATTCCAACGTCATATTGTTTTAAATCGGCTTTTCCAGGCGCCAAACCTCACAACTATCAAATCAAAGTAAATTTTCAAACTTGGAGATTCGATTTTCTTTCTTTCGCATTTGTAAGGATCAATCCTGAACTCTGGAGGAACGTAACATGCATTATTTGAAACGATGAACTTCACCAACACTCTAAAACAACAATGGAATAGTAACCAACACTTTATTTTTCAGATTTAGTCATTCTACTTAGTTATATCACTGGTACAATTTTTTTTGCGACAGAAACGGTTGTTGGGAACTCTGGCCAAGAAAACCACAGCAAAGAAAGGGATATTTTAGGCAAGTGTACCGTGAACCGTTATTTCTTGTGAATATTCGAGTTTAGCCTCAATACAATGACGTTAGTCAACACAGTTAAATTTATCATATGACAAAGAATGCAGTTTGCATGAGTTGTTCTTGTGTAGAACAAAACTGATAAACGAAACTAAAGACCTTGCTGTTGGTATATTCAATAGGCCATCATAGAAACGCACAACGCTACACTACTTAAAGAATGGCGGTCAGCTAAAAATGTCCAATTCGATTCTACGTAGATCTGACAATTGCTAAAACGTTACTCATATCGGTAATCAGATTAGTTTACCAAACATTTCACTGGTATTGAAGACATACGTTGTAAACGTTCTCTGGTATTGAAGAAATACGTTGTAAACGTTCTCTGGTATTGAAGAAATACTTTGTAAACGCTCTCTGGTATTGAAGAAATACGTTGTAAACGTTCTCAGGTATTGAAGACATACGTTGTAAACGTTCTCTGGTATTGAAGAAATACGTTGTAAACGTTCTCTGGTATTGAAGAAATACGTTGTAAACGTTCTCTGGTATTGAAGAAATACGTTGTAAACGTTCTCTGGTATTGAAGAAATACGTTGTAAACGTTCTCTGGTATTGAAGAAATACGTTGTAAACGTTCTCTGGTATTGAAGACATACGTTGTAAACGTTCTCTGGTATTGAAGAAATACGTTGTAAACGTTCTCTGCTTTTGAAGAAATACGTTGTAAACGTTCTCTGGTATTGAAGAAATACGTTTTAAACGTTCTCTGGTATTGAAGAAATACGTTTTAAACGTTCTCTGGTATTGAAGAAATACGTTGTAAACGTTCTCTGGTATTGAAGACATACTTTGTAAACGTTCTCTGGTATTGAAGACATACGTTGTAAACGTTCTCTGATATTGAAGACATACGTTGTAAACGTTCTCTGGTATTGAAGACATACTTTGTAAACGTTCCTGGTATAGAAGAAATACGTTGTATACGTTCTCTGGTATTGAAGACATACTTTGCAAACGTTCTCTGGTATTGAAAAATACGTTGTAAACGTTCTCTGATATTGAAGACATACGTTGTAAACGTTCTCTGGTATAGAAGAAATACGTTGTAAACGTTCTCTGGTATTGAAGAAATACGTTGTAAACGTTCTCTGGTATTGAAGAAATACGTTGTAAACGTTCTCTGGTATTGAAGAAATACGTTGTAAACGTTCTCTGGTATTGAAGAAATACGTTTTAAACGTTCTCTGGTATTGAAGAAATACGTTGTAAACGTTCTCTGGTATTGAAGACATACTTTGTAAACGTTCTCTGGTATTGAAGACATACGTTGTAAACGTTCTCTGATATTGAAGACATACGTTGTAAACGTTCTCTGGTATTGAAGACATACTTTGTAAACGTTCCCTGGTATAGAAGAAATACGTTGTATACGTTCTCTGGTATTGAAGACATACTTTGTAAACGTTCTCTGGTATTGAAAAAATACGTTGTAAACGTTCTCTGATATTGAAGACATACGTTGTAAACGTTCTCTGGTATAGAAGAAATACGTTGTAAACGTTCTCTGGTATTGAAGAAATACGTTGTAAACGTTCTCTGGTATTGAAGAAATACGTTGTAAACGTTCTCTGGTATTGAAGAAATACGTTGTAAACGTTCTCTGGTATTGAAGAAATACGTTGTAAACGTTCTCTGGTATTGAAGAAATACGTTGTAAACGTTCTCTGGTATTGAAGAAATACGTTAAATACGTTCTCTGGTATTGAAGACATACGTTGTAAACGTTCTCTGGTATTGAAGAAATACGTTGTAAACGTTCTCTGGTATTGAAGAAATACGTTGTAAACGTTCTCTGGTATTGAAGAAATACTTTGTAAACGTTCTCTGGTATTGAAGAAATACGTTGTAAACGTTCTCTGGTATTGAAGAAATACGTTGTAAACGTTCTCTGGTATTGAAGAAATACGTTGTAAACGTTCTCTGGTATAGAAGAAATACTTTGTAAACGTTCTCCGGTATTGAAGAAATACGTTGTAAACGTTCTCTGGTATGAAGAAATACGTTGTAAACGTTCTCTGGTATTGAAGAAATACGTTGTAAACGTTCTCTGGTATTGAAGAAATACGTTGTAAACGTTCTCTGGTATAGAAAAAATACGTTGTAAACGTTCTCTGGTATTGAAGAAATACGTTGTAAACGTTCTCTGGTATTGAAGAAATACGTTGTAAACGTTCTCTGGTATTGAAGAAATACGTTGTAAACGTTCTCTGGTATAGAAGAAATACGTTGTAAACGTTCTCTGGTATTAAAGAAATACGTTGTAAACGTTCTCTGGTATTGAAGAAATACGTTGTAAACGTTCTCTGGTATTGAAGACATACTTTGTAAACGTTCTCTGGTATTGAAAAATACGTTGTAAACGTTCTCTGATATTGAAGACATACGTTGTAAACGTTCTCTGGTATTGAAGTCATACTTTGTAAACGTTCCCTGGTATAGAAGAAATACGTTGTAAACGTTCTCTGGTATTGAAGACATACGTTGTAAACGTTCTCTGGTATTGAAGAAATATGTTGTAAACGTTCTCTGGTATTGAAGAAATACGTTGTAAACGTTCTCTGGTATTGAAGAAATACGTTTTAAACGTTCTCTGGTGTTGAAGAAATACGTTTTAAACGTTCTCTGGTATTGAAGAAATACGTTGTAAACGTTCTCTGGTATTGAAGAAATACTTTGTAAACGTTCTCTGGTATTGAAGAAATACGTTGTAAACGTTCTCTGGTATTGAAGAAATACGTTGTAAACGTTCTCTGGTATTGAAGAAATACGTTGTAAACGTTCTCTGGTATGAAGAAATACGTTGTAAAAAATCGTTGTAAACGTTCTCTGGAAATACGTTGTAAACGTTCTCTGGTATTGAAGACATACTTTGTAAACGTTCTCTGGTATTGAAGACATACGTTGTAAACGTTCTCTGATATTGAAGACATACGTTGTAAACGTTCTCTGGTATAGAAGAAATACTTTGTAAACGTTCTCCGGTATTGAAGAAATACGTTGTAAACGTTCTCTGGTATAGAAGAAATACGTTGTAAACGTTCTCTGGTATTGAAGAAATACGTTGTAAACGTTCTCTGGTATTGAAGAAATACGTTGTAAACGTTCTCTGGTATAGAAGAAATACGTTGTAAACGTTCTCTGGTATAGAAGAAATACGTTGTAAACGTTCTCTGGTATTGAAGAAATACGTTGTAAACGTTCTCTGGTATTGAAGAAATACGTTGTAAACGTTCTCTGGTATAGAAGAAATACGTTGTAAACGTTCTCTGGTATTAAAGAAATACGTTGTAAACGTTCTCTGGTATTGAAGAAATACGTTGTAAACGTTCTCTGGTATTGAAGACATACTTTGTAAACGTTCTCTGGTATTGAAAAAATACGTTGTAAACGTTCTCTGATATTGAAGACATACGTTGTAAACGTTCTCTGGTATTGAAGTCATACTTTGTAAACGTTCCTGGTATAGAAGAAATACGTTGTAAACGTTCTCTGGTATTGAAGACATACGTTGTAAACGTTCTCTGGTATTGAAGAAATATGTTGTAAACGTTCTCTGGTATTGAAGAAATACGTTGTAAACGTTCTCTGGTATTGAAGAAATACGTTTTAAACGTTCTCTGGTGTTGAAGAAATACGTTTTAAACGTTCTCTGGTATTGAAGAAATACGTTGTAAACGTTCTCTGGTATTGAAGAAATACTTTGTAAACGTTCTCTGGTATTGAAGAAATACGTTGTAAACGTTCTCTGGTATTGAAGAAATACGTTGTAAACGTTCTCTGGTATTGAAGAAATACGTTGTAAACGTTCTCTGGTATAGAAGAAATACGTTGTAAACGTTCTCTGGTATTAAAGAAATACGTTGTAAACGTTCTCTGGTATTGAAGAAATACGTTGTAAACGTTCTCTGGTATTGAAGACATACTTTGTAAACGTTCTCTGGTATTGAAGACATACGTTGTAAACGTTCTCTGATATTGAAGACATACGTTGTAAACGTTCTCTGGTATTGAAGACATACTTTGTAAACGTTCCCTGGTATAGAAGAAATACGTTGTAAACGTTCTCTGGTATTGAAGACATACGTTGTAAACGTTCTCTGGTATTGAAGAAATACGTTGTAAACGTTCTCTGGTATTGAAGAAATACGTTGTAAACGTTCTCTGGTATTGAAGAAATACGTTGTAAACGTTCTCTGGTATTGAAGAAATACGTTGTAAACGTTCTCTGGTATTGAAGAAATACGTTGTAAACGTTCTCTGGTATTGAAGACATACGTTGTAAACGTTCTCTGGTATTGAAGAAATACGTTGTAAACGTTCTCTGGTATTGAAGACATACGTTGTAAACGTTCTCTGGTATTGAAGAAATACGTTGTAAACGTTCTCTGGTATTGAAGAAATACGTTTTAAACGTTCTCTGGTATTGAAGAAATACGTTTTAAACGTTCTCTGTTATTGAAGAAATACGTTTTAAACGTTCTCTGGTATTGAAGAAATACGTTTTAAACGTTCTCTGGTATTGAAGAAATACGTTGTAAACGTTCTCTGGTATTGAAGAAATACTTTGTAAACGTTCTCTGGTATTGAAGAAATACGTTGTAAACGTTCTCTGGTATTGAAGAAATACGTTGTAAACGTTCTCTGGTATTGAAGAAATACGTTGTAAACGTTCTCTGGTATAGAAGAAATACTTTGTAAACGTTCTCGGTATTGAAGAAATACGTTGTAAACGTTCTCTGGTATAGAAGAAATACGTTGTAAACGTTCTCTGGTATTGAAGAAATACGTTGTAAACGTTCTCTGGTATTGAAGAAATACGTTGTAAACGTTCTCTGGTATAGAAGAAATACGTTGTAAACGTTCTCTGGTATAGAAGAAATACGTTGTAAACGTTCTCTGGTATTGAAGAAATACGTTGTAAACGTTCTCTGGTATTGAAGAAATACGTTGTAAACGTTCTCTGGTATAGAAGAAATACGTTGTAAACGTTCTCTGGTATTGAAGAAATACGTTGTAAACGTTCTCTGGTATTGAATAAATACGTTGTAAACGTTCTCTGGTATTGAAGAAATACGTTGTAAACGTTCTCTGGTATTGAAGAAATACGTTGTAAACGTTCTCTGGTATTGAAGACATACTTTGTAAACGTTCTCTGGTATTGAAAAAATACGTTGTAAACGTTCTCTGATATTGAAGACATACGTTGTAAACGTTCTCTGGTATTGAAGACATACTTTGTAAACGTTCTCTGGTATAGAAGAAATACGTTGTAAACGTTCTCTGGTATTGAAGACATACGTTGTAAACGTTCTCTGGTATTGAAGAAATACGTTGTAAACGTTCTCTGGTATTGAAGAAATACGTTGTAAACGTTCTCTGGTATTGAAGAAATACGTTTTAAACGTTCTCTGGTATTGAAGAAATACGTTTTAAACGTTCTCTGGTATTGAAGAAATACGTTGTAAACGTTCTCTGGTATTGAAGAAATACTTTGTAAACGTTCTCTGGTATTGAAGAAATACGTTGTAAACGTTCTCTGGTATTGAAGAAATACGTTGAAAACGTTCTCTGGTATTGAAGAAATACGTTGTAAACGTTCTCTGGTATAGAAGAAATACTTTGTAAACGTTCTCCAGTATTGAAGAAATACGTTGTAAACGTTCTCTGGTATAGAAGAAATACGTTGTAAACGTTCTCTGGTATTGAAGAAATACGTTATAAACGTTCTCTGGTATTGAAGAAATACGTTGTAAACGTTCTCTGGTATAGAAGAAATACGTTGTAAACGTTCTCTGGTATTGAAGAAATACGTTGTAAACGTTCTCTGGTATTGAAGAAATACGTTGTAAACGTTCTCTGGTATAGAAGAAATACGTTGTAAACGTTCTCTGGTATTAAAGAAATACGTTGTAAACGTTCTCTGGTATTGAAGAAATACGTTGTAAACGTTCTCTGGTATTGAAGACATACTTTGTAAACGTTCTCTGGTATTGAAAAATACGTTGTAAACGTTCTCTGATATTGAAGACATACGTTGTAAACGTTCTCTGGTATTGAAGACATACTTTGTAAACGTTCTCTGGTATAGAAGAAATACGTTGTAAACGTTCTCTGGTATTGAAGACATACTTTGTAAACGTTCTCTGGTATTGAAAAAATACGTTGTAAACGTTCTCTGATATTGAAGACATACGTTGTAAACGTTCTCTGGTATTGAAGAAATACGTTGTAAACGTTCTCTGGTATTGAAGAAATACTTTGTAAACGTTCTCTGGTATTGAAGAAATACGTTGTAAACGTTCTCTGGTATTGAAGAAATACTTTGTAAACGTTCTCTGGTATTGAAGAAATACGTTGTAAACGTTCTCTGGTATTAAAGAAATTCGTTGTAAACGCGACAGGCCAATTTGAAACACTGTTCTACACTTTACCTTCACAAATATTGTGTTTGCTGTAACGTTTCACACGCTAAGTAGCTCTAATTGAATACAAAAAACACTACAGCTACCCTTAAGAAAATTCAGTGTTTTCCCTGTGTTTACCTTTTATTTAGAGATGAATGTCGTCTTGCATAGCCAAGCCATGATTCACGTAAACTTTGCCTCAAATCAAAGTTGCCGCGCGATGAAAGTATTCCAACGACCAAATCATAATGAGAATAATTCTCTGCTGTCAAGAACATTATTTTAAAACATTAAAGAAAACAAGTGGAAACACAAATACAAAAATGGACTATGTAGGATAAAGTTTTTAGATAACATGGTTAAATAACACTAGCGAAAGTTTCAATAAAAGATCACTCTTGATGAAAACATAAGACTGGAGTATATAAGGACTCAAGATTCAACATCAGATCACTCCTGATGAAGACACTAGACTGGAGTATATAAGGACTCAAGATTCAACATCAGATCACTCCAGATGAAGACATTAGTCTGGAGTATATAAGGACTCAAGATTCAACATCAGATCACTCCTGATGAAGACACTAGACTGGAGTATATAACGACTCAAGATTCAACATCAGATCACTCCTGATGAAAACATAAGACTGGAGTATATAAGGACTCAAGTTTCAACATCAGATCACTCCTGATGAAGACACTAGACTGGAGTATAAAAGGACTCAAGTTTCAACATCAGATCACTCCTGATGAAGACACTAGACTGGAGTATATAAGGACTCAAGATTCAACATCAGATCACTCCTGATGAAAACATAAGACTGGAGTATATAAGGACTCAAGATTCAACATCAGATCACTCCTGATGAAGACACTAGACTGGAGTATATAAGGACTCAAGATTCAACATCAGATCACTCCTGATGAAAACATAAGACTGGAGTATATAAGGACTCAAGTTTCAACATCAGATCACTCCTGATGAAGACACTAGACTGGAGTATATAAGGACTAAAGTTTCAACATCAGATCACTCCTGATGAAGACACTAGACTGGAGTATATAAGGACTCAAGATTCAACATCAGATCACTCCTGATGAAAACATAAGACTGGAGTATATAAGGACTGAAGATTCAACATCAGATCACTCCTGATGAAAACATAGGACTGGAGTATATAAGGACTCAAGTTTCAACATCAGATCACTCCTGATGAAGACACTAGACTGGAGTATATAAGGACTCAAGTTTCAACATCAGATCACTCCTGATGAAGACACTAGACTGGAGTATATAAAGACTCAAGTTTCAACATCAGATCACTCCTGATGAAGACACTACGCTAGAGTATATGTAAACTCATCTTTCAAAACATATCGTTTATACTCAAGATATTAGATAGACGTACGACAATCTATAATGTCATATAAATCACGATAAAAAATCTGGTCCCCGGAGTCGACATGCTATCAGGCAGGCAACAAACAAAGATGAGATAGCTGTACAAACCTGTATTATCGCAGCAAAGCTTCAAATCTTTAACAACAAGATGATTATAGATGTATAACACGAAAATAGCGATCAATATTAGTAAAGTTGGCTTAAGGATGTCATTTAATGTAAACATAAGTTGAAATTAAACAGTTACAATTAACTATAGCGTATAAATATCTTTCCCTATGTAAAATAATCTATACATTATCCTCAATAACGAACTATACACATTGTTGCATTTTAATATATACGAACTTTGACCTCGGGTGTGTTGCGGAAACGTCATGTAAGGAGTCTTAAAGCATCAATATAAATTAGCAAACTTTGTGATCTATGTTACTTATTGAACTTAAATTGAGCAATACAAAAATCTTAATCTTCAACAAAACATATCCAAAATATTACTATGAATGTATAAAAAGTATACAATCGCTAAAAAGATCACGTTTGCACGCTTTTTTCTTCACCAACTGAGCAAAGATTCTCTTTTTCTTTGAACTGCTTGTCGACAACCATTGAAAGATTATTCAAAAACTCTTCTAAGGTTATCGTTTGCGCCTATTACGTAGGTTTGAGGGACAATATAAGTACATGCATGTACAACAAAGAACACGGGTGAAGGCTTTAATTCGTATTACTTACTTTCGAATACAGCGCATGTGCAAGGAATGGTAGTTTACGAAGAGTTCGACCACTTAGTTGATAACTTTTTCTAAACAAGAAAATGAGAGAAAGAATACTTCGTAGGTTTATCACAGTGAGACGCTTGACTGCTCCTTGCAAGTTCAAAGGAGAAGGGCCTCCCAAAGAAACCTAACCAAAAGTCAACCAATATTCGTGATTATTTGAGAGTGGTCCATTACTTGATAACTACTGACTACGATAACAAAGAAAAAACATCTTTACGCCTTAAATGTAGATGTAATACAAAGTTAAATTTTATTTATGTTGCAAGTATTAAGACGGTATATTTTAAACCTCAGTCCTAAATTATTTGAGAACTCATCTGAACATGCACAAACAACTCAACAAACTGTTCGAGTTTACAATCATGGCAATGACAAACAGAACAAGCTTGCATCCTTCTGTGGTTCACTTGGTCACATATTGGGAAATCATAAATTTCAATCATAATGAGAAATTTAGTCATTTAACAAATTTTTCATATTCATAGTGATGGCAACAACAAGCTGGACCTATTTTCATCACTTACTGAGTAATTAATCGCTTGGTCACAAAAATATAAGAAGATCATCTGAGCATGCGCAGTACGCTTGGGCATGCGCAGCTGCTCAAGCATGCAAAGTCCACTTGACCAATTGTCCGAGTTGATAGTCATGGAAACGACCAACTACATTTACTAGCATCAATTAGGGAGTATATAACTTGCTTATTAACAAACTATTAAAGATATCAACTGAGCATGCGCAGTTAAATTGATTGGCTGCCAATGTTCATGGTCATGGCAACGACCAATTGCATCTACTAGCCCCGATTTTGAAGTAAATAGCATGTTTAGTAACAATTTAATGGAGAAATCATCTGCGCATGCGCTCGAGCATGCGCAGCCCACTCGACTAATTGTTTATAGTCATGGCAACGACTAACTAGATGTACTTGCACTACATCTGGGGCAATTATCCCACTTAATCGCAAATTATCAAAGAAATTATCTGGGCATGCGCAGTTGTGACTTTAATAATACCACAAATTTCGTAAGCCTCTAAATTTTGTATATATAAATATAAATCTATAGCTTCATATAGTAGATGTCAACTAGCAGTGGAAGCTGGGTGCGATATAGTATGCAGTGGCTTAGGGTCCACACTTCGGTGGCGACCGCACTCTCCCTGCGTACCCCGAGCAAAGCCTATCGCAGGTGATCTCGGGGTCTGATGGGCGGAAGCTTGCTATTGCATCTCCCAAGTAGGATAGCGTGGAGGGGCCGAAATCTGCTACCGAAACGTTAACATGCCGCGTTTTAGTGCCTTACGCTTAAGAAGGTATCGGGAAGCATGGACCGAAAACGGGTTTTTCCTTTCAAAATTTGTCTTTTTCTTTACAAGAATTCTTCTCATAAAGAAACTAGAACATACTGCCAGGGTTCAGACAACTTCTGAAAATCCCCCGGGCGTAGTTTCGTTTTCTTTGTAAAACGAGAAGAATACTAACTTGAAAACATGAAGACTGGGTGACATAATATTTACCATAAACTAAGACAAGAAATGTTTATTTTACTCTGTGACATCACTTTACTTTAAAGTGAAAGGTTTGAACATGGGAGTATCGTTACATGTTTGTAGATGTAGATCGTCCAGGTTAGTAAAGTCCTGAAAAGAACTGTTGTTGTTGATGCTGACTCTAAAGATGACTACCGCTAAGGTTGTTAAGAAGTCAGTCAACATCAACATCAACAGTCCTTCGCAGGACACCACTAACCTCGACGATCTACATCTATCTACTTCACTTACTCGGCTATCTTCTTTAATTCAAGACTACAGTGTGTTACATCGTTGTCGACAAAGCTACAATGGAAAATAGGGAAAAAAAGTTGTACATCGGAAAAGAAAACCATGTCATCAACATAGAAGTGAACAAAAATTTCTAACAAACACCGTCAATTTTCGTCAAAATAAAATTTCGTGTATTTTTCAGTTGTACCTTAAATCCAAAATTTGAGTGGCTGGTGATATGATACTGGTCTGTGATGAAACGGTGAACATTAATTTTGATTATTAAAAATTATCTACAATGCAATCGTTTGCAATCAATTTCTATATAGCTGCACACCTCTCTATTTAAGCAACATGTTTGTATAACTTGCACAAACGACTATATTGTGGTATGGAAATAAAGCAGTAGACGTAAAGGTACAAAGTACTGAGAAGAGGGGATATACTTCACGAGGCAAATTGTTGTTTTATATTGTATATGATGACAGGTTGCGGTAAGCCATTTCGGCGTTCCTTTTGGCCAGAAAACATAATTGACCGGCAGCCATTTCGTTGATCACGTGCACAAGAAGACATAAGTTACATACAAACAAATGGTAAATTTTGTAAATAGCTTTGGCTGATGGCGGACCAATATACTGTTTGATGTCGGCTCTGTGGGCGAACAAATAGCGAAGTTAGATGAGAAAGTGAATTAAAAAACTTTCGAGTCACAAACATATTTTCAACCTGTCCACGAACGCAACGTCTATGGCTCTAGTTATGTTCGATGTTGTCAATATAATTACATTAGGATGTCTGAAATAAGAAGAAAACAACATTGGGGAAGACTAGGTTTAGCAAATAAACGCATAAATGTAGTTCAAATCAAGACTTCTGTAAATACGTAATTGATAGATAATAAGTATTTGACTGAGCAAAGTTGTCATCAAGCAAGTTTGTTCATGTCATATAAATATTTTCGTGCTTTTACTCCTGTAAAAGCGACAACATTGTAGAGAAAGAAATAATACATAGTTCTAAAGATAGCAAATACCATAGTGAATGGTAAATGTAATATAATAAGGAAGATTGTTTTACTCTTGAACACAATACATAGAGACACATATATATAAGGATTTCCGGTTGTATTTCATAGTTGATACATCTTGACTTACAATTCACTGACTGACAACGTCAATCAAAACATGAACGACTTATTATATAGAATGTAAACGGTCCATATAAAACATCCGTTTCCCAAAAAATTAATGCCATTTCCAACCACCCAATCTTCCTCCAAGAATGAACAAACAGTAAGTTCTTATTAATTGTATTCATACAAATTCTATTAGTTTACATCGAAGTTTCGAATACTTGGCTATCATTTGAAAAATTGTTTTGATTTAGTCAAATTTTATATTACATACGTATGATCTTATTTTAATTACAAAAAATTTCTATGAGAATATCAAGTGTACGCTGCTTGAAATTTTGTGCAAGTTATTTCAAAATAGGTGGCAGAAGTCTCTTTTGGAATACTTGAATTTCTTTTGAAATTCTTCACTAAATTAGAGAGCGAGGGAACTCTCTAGTTTAGTTAGAATATTGTAAAAATCTTTTATGTGCATGTTTTGTGTTTTGTGCATGTTTATGATCATCTGCAAACACCGAAGAATGGAAGTCGAAAATTTTGTCTTCTCGAAACATGCCTTCTTTAAATTTTAATATCTTCTCCAAAATAAGTAATAAATATTGGTTTAACTTACTGCAAGAAGCGTTGCTTGACAATGACAGGTTACGGCAATGTGGTTCTGAAAGAAATTGAAGCAAAGAAGATTTGATGAACGATACAAACAAATACATGCTTACATCTCTGTTCTGCTATTCTTGATCTTATCGACCTCTGCATCTGAAAAATACTGAGGAAAAAGTTGCAGTATGATGAAGCAAACAAGCAAACAACTGACAAACAAACACATACCGCAGTCTCAATCTTCATCGTTCAGTGCCATGAATAACTGTAAGAATAATGTTAAAATACAATCATGACAAACTGTAGGAGCATATAAATTTTCAAAAACCAGTGTTTGCAGACGATCTGTCGAAATTTCTATCAAAACTGGTACTTTACGATGATTTCCAGAAAACAGCTGTAAACTGCAAACATTTACAGGAAAGGTTTACTTTTATGGCACAAAAGTTACTGTCAGATTTTTCAAACGAAGTCAATCATCTCCATTGAACATAATGGACAGACGAGCATTCATGACGAGCCCTCAAGTTGGATTCGAAAATTTGGAAACAGTTTCCTCTCCGAGGAATTATCTTTATGATTGCAATAGTTCTATACAATCATACAAAATAGCTATTTTGGCTAAATCATTTACCAAACATTAGAACATCACCGGAAGTTAAATTTTTTATTGCTTTGTAGACACTGTTATAACATCCCTCAATATTATAACAGTGCAATCATAGGCACAAATAAACCATTAAATATTCAAAGTAGACGGCTAGTCTGACTGGCTCGTGATTATCATTTCGCATAGATGTTGAGTTTAAAGATTTTTGCAATACTCTGCCAGCGTATTGCAATTTCTCTTTTCAACCATGATGATTGATTTAATGTAAATTAGATTTTGTTTTAATTTTACACAAGATATGAGCGCAAGAAGCACTCTTATATTAACATGCTCTAAAGCATGTTAACTGATTTGTGCTAACATCTACAAAATTACTCCATGGTATATAGAAGCGCCAGTCAGTTGTTGCACAAGTACAACACATCTCTTTACTACCAAATCCCCCAGTTATTACCAAATCAAGCACGTGTCAGAACTAGGCAATAATCAAACATAAGCTAGCTCTCTGTTGGTCGGTCGAATTATTGATATGGACAATGAAGAAGGATGTTTTTGGGTCGAAGGATGATCTGTTTCTTCCGTTAGCAACATCTTGAAGTCAACTTTGTTGTCTAGAAATATAGAATACGAGAGAAATGAATTGATTTTTTCAGTATCGGAAATCATCGCACCATGAACTTATTATGTTCGTTAATAAATCACTAATCACTTTGGTTACTTCTTAGTACTTTAACATGGCTCTCTGATCAAATAATTTAGTATGTTCAGCATCATAAATTATTGTGACACCCTGGCTCTTGCGTTCACTTCATTGCCATCTTTTCTTATTATCGTCAGTGATTCTTAACCGTGTACACTTTTAAATTATTTGTTTTAAAATTGAGTTTCTTAGCCTGTGGCTGTCATAGAAAAATGATTTTCTTCTTTTCAACTTCCAATGGCAAAGTTACACAACGAGAAGGTGCTTTTGGTGCTGTCTTTGGTCATACTAGTCTTACAGCACAAGCAAAAGTGATTATTAATTGTGAAACAAGACAGAATAAATGAAGGATTAGAATCAACATGAGCATAAACAAAACAATATTCAAAAGAATTTCCGTTTTCCTGGTCTTTTAGGTCTCGCGAGAAAACAAAATTGAATGCATGGTACATACGAATAGAATAAGCATAAACGATAAAACTTTATTTCTTTTTCTCTTCAGAGTTTACACAGAAAGACATGGAAATCTTCTTTCGTTTTTCTCATGTTCTTTTTGTGTTCTTCTTTCAGCTAATGCCTAACACATTTCCTTAAGCCTGTGTAATGGTGTAACTTCGCTCTTTTGAGTGGGTGGGAGGAGCTTTAGGAATAAATTTGCCCATAAAAGCGTGGTGTTATTTTTATGTTGTTTCCTAAGCTGAAAGAAGTATAAAATATTGAAAAGAAGAATATGATTTTTGATGTTTTTTTCTGTAAACCCTCGAGAGAGTCATAAGCACGCTCGTTGCTTATGCTTGTGATTACGTAGACGTTAATGTTCCAACTTTTGCTTATTGTTTTTCTTTAACACTTTATTGACACTTGACACAACATTCAAAAATAGATATATTCTATTCAAACAGTTCATGAAAAAAATTATTGCTTTGTTCAGACAGTTGGATTGGCTGGATTTGAACAGGACGTTCTATACGAGAAGGGATTACGTTGGTTTTATTCAGTTATTTTGGGGATGATTGACGTATTATCAGTGTACCGTATGTCAAGAAGCATCCTATGGTGATACAGGTGAGCCATCACCCCTCAGATTAAGCTCTAGGATATGTTTGCTACAATGACGGAATCGTTGTAACAAAGTCTTCTGTTCTTACTTCATATGCTTCATCTTGTTTTATACAGTTTTCCAAAATGACTCAACTGTAAATATTGTAAAACAAGCACGATTAAAAGCGTGTATATAAATTTGTAAAATTTAAGAATTGCCCAAGAATTTGTCCAAACAATTAATTTTTTGAGAAATTTCCAGAAATTTCCTTCAAATAGGCCATTCTTTTCTGAGAAATTTCCTTAGAAATAAGACCACATTTGACCATCGTTATCATGTTAACTACTTCATGTAAAAGTTATATATCGTCTTCCAAGAAAACAACATAACAATTTTTTAATTTTTAAACCTCACAAGCATTCGTTCTCCGCAAGAATATTTCTCTCCACATATCTGTTGTAAAAGAGTGAAAGACAAATAATATTTTAAAGAACATATAAAGTTTTTTTTGAAAGCTGAAACAAGGTAATAGATATATATGTTATTGTTATGCCTGAGTCTGACTTTGAGTTTCATAGCGGGAAATTGAAACGATATTTATTTTTTATTTCTACATAGCAAAGATATTTAAGTTTTTTTTCCTACACAGCCAATATTGTGAATAATCTTTTGTATAACATCTCTAACTAAAGCAATATCGTTAAAATGGATAAAGTTCAAGAACTTTCTGAAGCACTGCCTTTACCAAGTCAGCCATTCTTAAACGTCGAAGTAAATGAATGCAAAGAAAGGTTAGTTCATAATATGAACAAAGGACTGTATGCAGAAGGATATTGAATTGCATTTCATGTAATAATCTAGTTGAGTGAGTCTGTGTTAGTGAAACCATGCTACAGGTGAAACTAGGTAATGAACAAATCATGTTTTTGTTTTGTAAAGAAACTTGAATAATTTTAATATGTTACTAGATTGACGTCACTGGTCATATGTTGTGCTTCAACAGACTCACTTCTTCAAATACCACTGTGCTGTCAAAACGTGAACAAAACCATTTATTCAATTTGATAATAAGCATTAACATCTTAATAGTATTTACCACTTTATTTTAGCACTATCCCAGAGTATAGAATTATAAAGCTTGTCAAAGACTTTCTTATCAACATGAAAACAATTCATGGCGACTCATGTTTCGTAGAATTTGTTGATCCTTTTTAATGGAACATGTCAAGAGCATAACTATTGTGTATGACACAGATAATTTTTCAACATATGGCAAGGTTATTGACCCTATGATCAGACAATATTTACTTTCGCATGTGTGAGAGTAGGTTGTTCACACCCCCCTGGTATGTCACACATCCCTTTTTGTTGAACCCCCACGGAAAAGAAAATGCAAGAACTCTTAGAGGATTGACTTAGTTTGATAATGAAGATTTACATGAAGTACATATTTCTGTCAAACCTTCATAATTCTTTTAACAGATAATTGATTTGAAAAAAGTTATGCTGAAGTATCATGTCTATCAACTTCATGATGGGGGGCATGGATATGAAGAACTTGAGGATGATATGTCTGCTCCAGACAACTGGCTTTTGCCTACAGGTGGGTAAATTTTGCCTGCAGGTGGTCAACTCACTTCAGTCCCAGGTCTTTTCGCTTTCACGAGTTATAAGTATTAGCAACTAATACAATTAATTCATCATTTTTAGAGGATTTTCAGGGCTTGTGGGAAAGCTTGCTCTTTGACTCGGATGTGAAAAATCAGGTTGTTCTTCATAATGAACATTTAATGATTTCTCTCGTGAGCGAAGTTTAAATTGTAGCTTGTTAAGGACGTCTTTAGCGCCGAAATAAGTTAACGTTTAAACAGTTAGCTGTCAAAACGTCAAATAGATTTTTTAAGGATTTTCCTAATTTCTCCTATTTTCTATTGAACTGAAGACTTTTTAGAGAAGCCAAATTGCAAAATCGTTCGTTTTTCCATCTTTTTAAAATCACTCCCAAACAATGACATTTTCAAAGTATATATTAGTCACGTGTTTGAATCATATTTTAGAGGCGTGGATTTCAACATCATCTCGTGAAATAAAGTTACCTTATTGCATGGTAAGTTAGTTTCCTTGGTAACCAGACGTGAGTCCTTGCGTCATCGTCCGTCACGTGTATCTTTTTACGAATCAAATTAGATTCTATTTTTGCGTGTGTTGACTTTGTAACAACTCTCATCTTAACGGAGTAAATCTCTTATCACTCATAACATTCAAGATTGAAAAATCACATATCAAAGTATTGATAAGAATAAGTTAGCTACAATCAGATAGAATGAAACGCGAGAGACGTGATGGTGTTTTAACGAGCCAACTATTAAATGACGTCAAGGCTACCATGTTTGTGTACCGCTGTGACGTCACTCGAAAACAAACAACGAAGCCAATCAAACACCAGCATTTACCACTCATAGTACATCATGTTTGTCTTCACGTGATCTACTGCAAATATCCAGAAGAATGAGTTGAGCTTTTCTTTAAAACTTTCACAGAGCCAACCGGTACTGGTGAAACATCCTTATGCAAGGCGCTTGCTCAAAATTATCCATACGACTTTCTAAAAGGTAAAAACACTACATTTTATTTTGATGTTACGTAAATCGCAATCCATTACTATCCATGTGTGTACTGCAACTAATATTGCCACGTAATTTTATTGTTATGTCGTGAATTATAAATACAAAGTATAATCCGAAAAAGGACATGTTGTAAACTCAACATCAAATTTAGAAAACAAGACGATTAAAATGTAAATATTACACTTTCAATTGTTTTGCTTTGTAACTTTATTTAAGTTTACAAGATGTTCTTTTGGCATTATCTTTACTTTGTTTTTAATGAAATTGTCGTCTACCTAAGGATTATGAACTATAAATTAAAGTGTGTTTCTACTTTTGAATCCTTAGATTTAACTATGGCCAGCTTATTGAAATAAACATTCACAGTTTATTTTCCGAGGTAGGCATCATTTTGAATAGCTCAAAGCAACATCACCGAGTGCGAAAATCCTCTGGAACCAAAAATTACATTGCCATAAATTTTCCGTGAAACCTTTGTCGTCACCCCCTGTCAATATAAAATGCACGGCTCACATCAAAATATCAGTTCAGAAAACTGACATTTATATACCTGGGATTGAGATGTCGTTGAAGTTAATAAATCTAGTTCCGTATCACAAAATGATCATATCCAATTAAAAAAAGCATCTGTAATTTAAAATGTACATTGACATTATCTTTCCTTACAAACAGAGTGGAAAGTTAATGATGAAAATGTTTCAGAAAATTCAAGAGTTTATTGACGACAAATAAGCTTTAGTTTGCGTTCTTATCGACGAGGTAAACTTTGCTTAAACATTTCTTTCTTAATGCTCATGGTCAGATAGATGAGAAATCATTTACTATTTGTGTTTCTTGTTTCACAAAATACCCGAAGCACATGTACGCTTGTCGGTAATGTTTAAGGAAAATACCTTTGCTATCCATATCTTTTACTTCTGAAGGTTGAAAGTTTAACATCGGCAAGAAAATCTGCGTTGAACGGACAAGAACCTTCAGATGCCATTCGTGTTGTGAATGCATTTCTCACTCAAATTGACCATATAAAACTGTAAATGCAAAATATAAGCAGAATATGCATTTCGGCGAACATTGCGTTCTCATGGATTTTTTAGTGAACTAAGAGATTGTATTCGGTTATATGAACGGCGAGGCCAGCCGGCAGGGTTGTTGCGTTATGTATTATTTAATAAAATAGAGACTTTGTAGAAAATAGTTCTAAAGATAGCAAATACCATAGTAAATGGTAAAAGTAATATAATAAGTTGATAGTTCTTACAAGAACTGTTGTAAGTAAAGAGCACTAACCCAATAGTTCTAAATTAAACGACACGATGCATTTCGGCAGACTACTCCTCAGGTGTCAACGTCTGCTGAATGAAAATTTACAATCTACCGATATTTATAATGCCAAGACAACAGTCTTTATCAACTTATTATATTACATTTACCATTCACTATGGTATTTGCTATCTTTAGAACTATGTATTATTTCTTTCTCTACAATGTTGTCGCTTTTACAGGGAGTAAAAGCACGAAAATATTTATATGACATGAACAAACTTGCTTGATGACAACTTTGCTCAGTCAAATACTTATTATCTATCAATTACGTATTTACAGAAGTCTTGATTTGAACTACATTTATGCGTTTATTTGCTAAACCTAGTCTTCCCCAATGTTGTTTTCTTCTTATTTCAGACATCCTAATGTAATTATATTGACAACATCGAACATAACTAGAGCCATAGACGTTGCGTTCGTGGACAGGTTGAAAAATATGTTTGTGACTCGAAAGTTTTTTAATTCACTTTCTCATCTAACTTCGCTATTTGTTCGCCCACAGAGCCGACATCAAACAGTATATTGGTCCGCCATCAGCCAAAGCTATTTACAAAATTTACCATTTGTTTGTATGTAACTTATGTCTTCTTGTGCACGTGATCAACGAAATGGCTGCCGGTCAATTATGTTTTCTGGCCAAAGGAACGCCGAAATGGCTTACCGCAACCTGTCATCATATACAATATAAAACAACAATTTGCCTCGTGAAGTATATCCCTCTTCTCAGTACTTTGTACCTTTACGTCTACTGCTTTATTTCCATACCACAATATAGTCGTTTGTGCAAGTTATACAAACATGTTGCTTAAATAGAGAGGTGTGCAGCTATATAGAAATTGATTGCAAACGATTGCATTGTAGATAATTTTTAATAATCAAAATTAATGTTCACCGTTTCATCACAGACCAGTATCATATCACCAGCCACTCAAATTTTGGATTTAAGGTACAACTGAAAAATACACGAAATTTTATTTTGACGAAAATTGACGGTGTTTGTTAGAAATTTTTTTGTTCACTTCTATGTTGATGACATGGTTTTCTTTTCCGATGTACAACTTTTTTTCCCTATTTTCCATTGTAGCTTTGTCGACAACGATGTAACACACTGTAGTCTTGAATTAAAGAAGATAGCCGAGTAAGTGAAGTAGATGTTTGTAGATGTAGATCGTCGAGGTTAGTGGTGTCCTGCGAAGGACTGTTGATGTTGATGTTGACTGACTTCTTAACACCTTAGCGGTAGTCATCTTTAGAGTCAGCATCAACAACAACAGTTCTTTTCAGGACTTTACTAACCTGGACGATCTACATCTACAAACATGTAACGATACTCCCATGTTCAAACCTTTCACTTTAAAGTAAAGTGATGTCACAGAGTAAAATAAACATTTCTTGTCTTAGTTTATGGTAAATATTATGTCACCCAGTCTTCATGTTTTCAAGTTAGTATTCTTCTCGTTTTACAAAGAAAACGAAACTACGCCGGGGATTTTCAGAAGTTGTCTGAACCCTGGCAGTATGTTCTAGTTTCTTTTATGAGAAGAATTCTTGTAAAGAAAAAGACAAATTTTGAAAGGAAAAACCCGTTTTCGGTCCATGCTTCCCGATACCTTCTTAAGCGTAAGGCACTAAAACGCGGCATGTTAACGTTTCGGTAGCAGATTTCGGCCCCTCCACGCTATCCTACTTGGGAGATGCAATAGCAAGCTTCCGCCCATCAGACCCCGAGATCACCTGCGATAGGCTTTGCTCGGGGTACGCATGGAGAGTGCGGTCGCCACCGAAGTGTGGACCCCTAAGCCACTGCATACTATATCGCACCCAGCTTCCACTGCTAGTGTACATCTACTATATGAAGCTATAGATTTATATTTATATATACAAAAATTTAGAGGCTTACGAAAGTTGTGGTATTATTAAAGTCACAACTGCGCATGCCCAGATAATTTCTTTGATAATTTGCGATTAAGTGGGATAATTGCCCCAGATGTAGTGCAAGTACATCTAGTTAGTCGTTGCCATGACTATAAACAATTAGTCGAGTGGGCTGCGAATGCTCGAGCGCATGCGCAGATGATTTCTCCATTAAATTGTTACTAAACATGCTATTTACTTCAAAATCGGGGCTAGTAGATGCAATTGGTCGTTGCCATGACCATGAACATTGGCAGCCAATCAATTTAACTGCGCATGCTCAGTTGAGATCTTTAATAGTTTGTTAATAAGCAAGTTATATACTCCTAATTGATGCTAGTAAATGTAGTTGGTCGTTTCCATGACTATCAACTCGGACAATTGGTCAAGTGGACTTTGCATGCTTGAGCGTGCTGCGCATGCCCAAGCGTACTGCGCATGCTCAGATGATCTTCTTATATTTTTGTGACCAAGCGATTAATTACTCAGTAAGTGATGAAAATAGGTCCAGCTTGTTGTTGCCATCACTATGAATATGAAAAATTTGTTAAATGACTAAATTCCTCATTATAATTGAAATTTATGATTTCCCAATATGTGACCAAGTGAACCACAGAAGGATGCAAGCTTGTTCTGTTTGTCATTGCCATGATTGTAAACTCGAACAGTTTGTTGAGTTGTTTGTGCATGTTCAGATGAGTTCTCAAATAATTTAGGACTGAGGTTTAAAATATACCGTCTTAATACTTGCAACATAAATAAAATTTAACTTTGTATTACATCTACATTTAAGGCGTAAAGATGTTTTTTCTTTGTTATCGTAGTCAGTAGTTATCAAGTAATGGACCACTCTCAAATAATCACGAATATTGGTTGACTTTTGGTTAGGTTTCTTTGGGAGGCCCTTCTCCTTTTGAACTTGCAAGGAGCAGTCAAGCGTCTCACTGTGATAAACCTACGAAGTATTCTTTCTCTCATTTTCTTGTTTAGAAAAGTTATCAACTAAGTGGTCGAACTCTTCGTAAACTACCATTCCTTGCACATGCGCTGTATTCGAAAGTAAGTAATACGAATTAAAGCCTTCACCCGTGTTCTTTGTTGTACATGCATGTACTTATATTGTCCCTCAAACCTACGTAATAGGCACAAACGATAACCTCAGAAGAGTTTTGAATAATCTTTCAATGATTGTTGACAAGCAGTTCAAAGAAAAGAGAATCTTTGCTCAGTTGGTGAAAAAAAGCGTGCAAGCGTGATCTTTTTAACGATTGTATACTTTTTATACATTCATAGAAATCTTTTGGATATGCTTTGTTGAAGATTAAGATTTTTTTATTGCTCAATTTAAGTCAATTTGGTAAGATAGATCACAAAGTTTGCTAATTTATATTGGTACTTTGAGACTCCTTACATGACGTTTCCCCAACACACCCGAGGTCAAATGCAGCAATGTGTATAGTTCGTTATTGAGGAAAATGTGTAGATTATTTTAAATAGGGAAGGATATTTATACGATATAGTTAATTGCAACTGTTTAATTTCAACGTATGTTTACATTAAATTACATCCTTAAGCCAACTTTACTAATATTGATCGCTATTTTCATGTTATACATCTATAATCATCTTAATAAAGTAAATGGTTTGAACCCGGGAGTATCGTTATATGTTTGTAAATGATGATCGTCCAGGTTTATAAAGTCCTGAGAAGGACTGTTTTTGATGTTGTTGACTGACGTTTCGACAACCTTAGCGGTAGTCATCTTCAGAGTCAAAACTGAAGATGACTACCTCTCTTCTCAGGACTTTATTAACCTGGACGATCATCATTTACAAACATATATAATCATCTTGTTAAAGATTTGAAGCTTTGCTGCGATAATACAGGTTTGTACAGCTATCTCATCTTTGTTTGTTGCCTGCCTGATAGCATGTCGACTCCGGGGACCAGATTTTTTATCGTGATTTATATGACATTATAGATTGTCGTACGTCTATCTAATATCTTGAGTATAAACGATATGTTTTTGAAAGATGAGTTTACATATACTCTAGCGTAGTGTCTTCATTAGGAGTGATCTGATGTTGAAACTTGAGTCTTTATATACTCCAGTCTAGTGTCTTCATCAGGAGTGATCTGATGTTGAAACTTGAGTCCTTATATACTCCAGTCTAGTGTCTTCATCAGGAGTGATCTGATGTTGAAACTTGAGTCCTTATATACTCCAGTCTTATGTTTTCATCAGGAGTGATCTGATGTTGAATCTTGAGTCCTTATATACTCCAGTCTTATGTTTTCATCAGGAGTGATCTGATGTTGAATCTTGAGTCCTTATATACTCCAGTCTAGTGTCTTCATCAGGAGTGATCTGATGTTGAAACTTTAGTCCTTATATACTCCAGTCTAGTGTCTTCATCAGGAGTGATCTGATGTTGAAACTTGAGTCCTTATATACTCCAGTCTAGTGTTTTCATCAGGAGTGATCTGATGTTGAATCTTGAGTCCTTATATACTCCAGTCTAGTGTCTTCATCAGGAGTGATCTGATGTTGAAACTTTAGTCCTTATATACTCCAGTCTAATGTCTTCATCAGGAGTGATCTGATGTTGAAACTTGAGTCCTTATATACTCCAGTCTTATGTTTTCATCAGGAGTGATCTGATGTTGAATCTTGAGTCCTTATATACTCCAGTGTAGTGTCTTCATCAGGAGTGATCTGATGTTAAATCTTGAGTCCTTATATACTCCAGTCTTATGTTTTCATCAGGAGTGATCTGATGTTGAATCTTGAGTCCTTATATACTCCAGTCTAGTGTCTTCATCAGGAGTGATCTGATGTTGAAACTTGAGTCTTTATATACTCCAGTCTAGTGTCTTCATCAGGAGTGATCTGATGTTGAAACTTGAGTCCTTATATACTCCAGTCTAGTGTCTTCATCAGGAGTGATCTGATGTTGAAATTTGAGTCCATATATACTCCAGTCTTATGTTTTCATCAGGAGTGATCTGATGTTGAATCTTGAGTCGTTATATACTCCAGTCTAGTGTCTTCATCAGGAGTGATCTGATGTTGAATCTTGAGTCCTTATATACTCCAGACTAATGTCTTCATCTGGAGTGATCTGATGTTGAATCTTGAGTCCTTATATACTCCAGTCTAGTGTCTTCATCAGGAGTGATCTGATGTTGAATCTTGAGTCTTATATACTCCAGTCTTATGTTTTCATCAGGAGTGATCTGATGTTGAATCTTGAGTCCTTATATACTCCAGTCTTATGTTTTCATCAAGAGTGATCTTTTATTGAAACTTTCGCTAGTGTTATTTAACCATGTTATCTAAAAAATTTATCCTACATAGTCCATTTTTGTATTTGTGTTTCCACTTGTTTTCTTTAATGTTTTAAAATAATGTTCTTGACAGCAGAGAATTATTCTCATTATGATTTGGTTGTTGGAATACTTTCATCGCGCGGCAACTTTGATTTGAGGCAAAGTTTACGTGAATCATGGGTTGGCTATGCAAGACGACATTCATCTCTAAATAAAAGGTAGCACAGGGAAAACACTGAATTTTCTTGAGGGTAGCTGTAGTGTTTTTTGTATTCAATTAGAGCTACTTAGCGTGTGAAACGTTACAGCAAACACAATATTTGTGAAGGTAAAGTGTAGCACAGTGTTTCAAATTGGCCTGTCGCGTTTACAACGAATTTCTTTAATACCAGAGAACGTTTACAACGTATTTCTTCAATACCAGAGAACGTTTACAAAGTATTTCTTCAATACCAGAGAACGTTTACAACGTATTTCTTCAATACCAGAGAACGTTTACAAAGTATTTCTTCAATACCAGAGAACGTTTACAACGTATTTCTTCAATACCAGAGAACGTTTACAACGTATGTCTTCAATATCAGAGAACGTTTACAACGTATTTTTCAATACCAAGAACGTTTACAAAGTATGTCTTCAATACCAGAGAACGTTTACAACGTATTTCTTCTATACCAGGGAACGTTTACAAAGTATGTCTTCAATACCAGAGAACGTTTACAACGTATGTCTTCAATATCAGAGAACGTTTACAACGTATTTATTCAATACCAGAGAACGTTTACAAAGTATGTCTTCAATACCAGAGAACGTTTACAACGTATTTCTTCAATACCAGAGAACGTTTACAACGTATTTCTTCAATACCAGAGAACGTTTACAACGTATTTCTTCTATACCAGAGAACGTTTACAACGTATTTCTTCAATACCAGAGAACGTTTACAACGTATTTCTTCAATACCAGAGAACGTTTACAACGTATTTCTTTCATACCAGAGAACGTTTACAACGTATTTCTTCTATACCAGAGAACGTTTACAACGTATTTCTTCAATACCAGAGAACGTTTACAACGTATTTCTTCAATACCAGAGAACGTTTACAACGTATTTCTTCTATACCAGAGAACGTTTACAACGTATTTCTTCAATACCAGAGAACGTTTACAACGTATTTCTTCTATACCAGAGAACGTTTACAACGTATTTTTCAATACCAGAGAACGTTTACAACGTATTTCTTCAATACCAGAGAACGTTTACAACGTATTTCTTCAATACCAGAGAACGTTTACAAAGTATTTCTTCAATACCAGAGAACGTTTACAACGTATTTCTTCAATACCAGAGAACGTTTAAAACGTATTTCTTCAATACCAGAGAACGTTTACAACGTATTTCTTCAATACCAGAGAACGTTTACAACGTATTTCTTCAATACCAGAGAACGTTTACAACGTATTTTTCAATACCAGAGAACGTTTACAACGTATTTCTTCAATACCAGAGAACGTTTACAACGTATTTCTTCAATACCAGAGAACGTTTACAAAGTATTTCTTCAATACCAGAGAACGTTTACAACGTATTTCTTCAATACCAGAGAACGTTTAAAACGTATTTCTTCAATACCAGAGAACGTTTACAACGTATTTCTTCAATACCAGAGAACGTTTACAACGTATTTCTTCAATACCAGAGAACGTTTACAACGTATTTCTTCAATACCAGAGAACGTTTAAAACGTATTTCTTCAATACCAGAGAACGTTTACAACGTATTTCTTCAATACCAGAGAACGTTTACAACGTATTTCTTCAATACCAGAGAACGTTTACAACGTATTTCTTCAATACCAGAGAACGTTTACAACGTATTTCTTCAATACCAGAGAACGTTTACAACGTATTTCTTCAATACCAGAGAACGTTAACAACGTATTTCTTCAATACCAGAGAACGTTTACAACGTATTTCTTCAATACCAGAGAACGTTTACAACGTATTTCTTCAATACCAGAGAACGTTTACAACGTATTTCTTCAATACCAGAGAACGTTTACAACGTATTTCTTCAATACCAGAGAACGTTTACAACGTATGTCTTCAATACCAGAGAACGTTTACAACGTATTTCTTCAATACCAGAGAGCGTTTACAAAGTATTTCTTCAATACGTTTACAACGTATTTCTTCAATACCAGAGAACGTTTACAACGTATGTTTTCAATACCAGTGAAATGTTTGGTAAACTAATCTGATTACCGATATGAGTAACGTTTTAGCAATTGTCAGATCTACGTAGAATCGAATTGGACATTTTAGCTGACCGCCATTCTTTAAGTAGTGTAGCGTTGTGCGTTTCTATGATGGCCTATTGAATATACCAACAGTAAGGTCTTTAGTTTCGTTTATCAGTTTGTTCTACACAAGAACAACTCATGCAAACTGCATTCTTTGTCATATGATAAATTTAACTGTGTTGACTAACGTCATTGTATTGAGGCTAAACTCGAATATTCACAAGAAATAACGGTTCACGGTACACTTGCCTAAAATATCCCTTTCTTTGCTGTGGTTTTCTTGGCCAGAGTTCCCAACAACCGTTTCTGTCGCAAAAAAAAAATTGTACCAGTGATATAACTAAGTAGAATGACTAAATCTGAAAAAATAAAGTGTTGGTTACTATTCCATTGTTGTTTTAGAGTGTTGGTGAAGTTCATCGTTTCAAATAATGCATGTTACGTTCCTCCAGAGTTCAGGATTGATCCTTACAAATGCGAAAGAAAGAAAATCGAATCTCCAAGTTTGAAAATTTACTTTTGATTTGATAGTTGTGAGGTTTGGCGCCTGGAAAAGCCGATATAAAACAATATGACATTGGAATCTCGATGCAGGCGATAAACTAACGAGGCACATATTTACAAACGTCGAACATAACCTACTATACATGTGATATTTAAAGTTAATCAGTTGCGGATTACTCATTACGAAAAGTAAACCAAGACATTGTTAGTTTTTACTTTTTGCTGCTTGGAACTTGCTAAAAGTGCCGTTTTTAGACCATTTATGATGTTGAAAACCGTACGTGCGATTGAATATCGACGAAAAAGACTTTCGTACCATCTAGTGTTTAAATGCGCGAGGCTAAGAACTGACGAGGATTTCCCTATTTCTGCAGACTGTTTTGATAATTTTTAAAGTTTATTTTGAACTATTAATTTCTTTTGTATCGTTCACACTATGTGTTACAAACGCAAGCTAGGAAATGCAAAGGCAAAGGAACGTAAAGAACGCGAACGTTGTCAAGAGACTGAGCTTAGTGGAGGAATTAAATATCACCAGGCCTCGTAATTTTGCCTTAGCCTACATGCTCCGTAATTATTAATCAGCCACTGCTGCGAATTTATCATTGCTGTATGTATTTGTAGCGAAGATCAGACAGTCTTGATGGAAATATGTGTTGCTATCTCTCATGGAGATTTTACCGTCATAGAGGCTGGAACGAGTGCATGATCAAACGTGTTTATATGTTTGTCATATTGATGTTTAGACTACGAAAATGAAGTAATTGCTTACAAACGACCAAATGAAGAAAATTTGAGATATTTTCACAGTGGATCTATCGGATGGGACTTTGATGTGAGTATTAGTTAGTTATTTGAAGTCTCTGGTATTGAAGAAATACGTTGTAAACGTTCTCTGGTATTGAAGAAATACGTTGTAAACGTTCTCTGGTATTGAAGAAATACGTTGTTAACGTTCTCTGGTATTGAAGAAATACGTTGTAAACGTTCTCTGGTATTGAAGAAATACGTTGTAAACGTTCTCTGGTATTGAAGACATACGTTGTAAACGTTCTCTGGTATTGAAGAAATACGTTGTAAACGTTCTCTGGTATTGAAGAAATACGTTGTAAACGTTCTCTGGTATTGAAGAAATACGTTTTAAACGTTCTCTGGTATTGAAGAAATACGTTGTAAACGTTCTCTGGTATTGAAGAAATACTTTGTAAACGTTCTCTGGTATTGAAGAAATACGTTGTAAACGTTCTCTGGTATTGAAGAAATACGTTGTAAACGTTCTCTGGTATAGAAGAAATACGTTGTAAACGTTCTCTGGTATTGAAGAAATACGTTGTAAACGTTCTCTGGTATAGAAGAAATACGTTGTAAACGTTCTCTGGTATTGAAGAAATACGTTGTAAACGTTCTCTGGTATTGAAGAAATACGTTGTAAACGTTCTCTGGTATAGAAGAAATACGTTGTAAACGTTCTCTGGAAAGAAATACGTTGTAAACGTTCTCTGGTATTGAAGAAATACGTTTCGTTCTCTGGTATTGAAAAATACGTTGTAAACGTTCTCTGGTATAGAAGAAATACGTTGTAAACGTTCTCTGGTATTGAAGAAATACGTTGTAAACGTTCTCTGGTATTGAAGAAATACGTTGTAAACGTTCTCTGGTATTGAAGACATACTTTGTAAACGTTCTCTGGTATTGAAAAAATACGTTGTAAACGTTCTCTGATATTGAAGACATACGTTGTAAACGTTCTCTGGTATTGAAGACATACTTTGTAAACGTTCCCTGGTATAGAAGAAATACGTTGTAAACGTTCTCTGGTATTGAAGACATACTTTGTAAACGTTCTTTGGTATTGAAAAATACGTTGTAAACGTTCTCTGATATTGAAGACATACGTTGTAAACGTTCTCTGGTATTGAAGAAATACGTTGTAAACGTTCTCTGGTATTGAAGAAATACTTTGTAAACGTTCTCTGGTATTGAAGAAATACGTTGTAAACGTTCTCTGGTATTGAAGAAATACTTTGTAAACGTTCTCTGGTATTGAAGAAATACGTTGTAAACGTTCTCTGGTATTGAAGAAATTCGTTGTAAACGCGACAGGCCAATTTGAAACACTGTTCTACACTTTACCTTCACAAATATTGTGTTTGCTGTTTCACACGCTAAGTAGCTCTAATTGAATACAAAAACACTACAGCTACCCTCAAGAAAATTCAGTGTTTTGTGCTTACCTTTTATTTAGAGATGAATGTCGTCTTGCATAGCCAACCCATGATTCACGTAAACTTTGCCTCAAATCAAAGTTGCCGCGATATATTCCAACGACCAAATCATAATGAGAATAATTCTCTGCTGTCAAGAACATTATTTTAAAACATTAAAGAAAACAAGTGGAAACACAAATACAAAATGGACTATGTATTTTAGATAACATGGTTAAATAACACTAGCGAAAGTTTCAATAAAAGATCACTCTTGATGAAAACATAAGACTGGAGTATAAGGACTCAAGATTCAACATCAGATCACTCTGATGAAAACATAAGACTGGAGTATATAAAGACTCAAGATTCAACATCAGATCACTCCTGATGAATAGACTGGAGTAAACTCAAGATTCAACGTCAGATCACTCCAGATGAAGACATTAGTCTGGAGTATACTCAAGATTCAACATCAGATCACTCCTGATGAAGACACTAGACTGGAGTATATAACGACTCAGATCACTCTGATGACTGGAAGACTCAACTTTCAACATCTCCTGATGAAGACACTAGACTGAGTATAAGGACTCAAGTTTCAACATCAGATCACTCCTGATGAAGACACTAGACTGGAGTATGACTCAAGATTCAACATCAGATCTGATCATAAGACTGGAGTATATAAGACTCAAGATTCAACATCAGATCACTCCTGATGAAACACTAGACTGGAGTATATAAGAACTCAACATTACTGAAAACATAAGACTATATAAGGACTCAAGTTTCAACATCAGATCACTCCTGATGAAGACACTAGACTGGAGTATATAAGACTAAGTTTCAACATCAGATCACTATGACACTAGACTGGGTATATAAGGACTCAAGATTCAACATCAGATCACTCCTGATGAAACATAAGACTGGAGTATATAGGACTCAAGTTTCAACATCAGATCACTCCTGATGAAGACACTAGACTGGATATAAGGACTCAAGATTCAACATCAGATCACTCCTGATAAACATAAGACTGGAGTATTCAAGTTTCAACATCAGATCACTCCTGATGAAGTATATAAGATTCAACATCAGATCACTCCTGATGAAGACACTAGACTGGAGTATATAAGGACTCAAGATTCAACATCAGATCACTCCTGATAAACACTAGACTGGAGTATATAAGACTCAAGATTCAACATCAGATCACTCCTGATGAAGACACTAGACTGGAGTATATAAGGACTCAAGATTCAACATCAGATCACTCCTGATGACACTAGACTGGAGTATATAGGACTCAAGATTCAACATCAGATCACTCCTGATGAAACATAAGACTGGAGTATATAGGACTCAAGTTTCAACATCAGATCACTCCTGATGAAGACACTAGACTGGAGTATATAAGGACTCAAGTTTCAACATCAGATCACTCCTGATGAAGACACTAGACTGGAGTATATAAGGACTCAAGATTCAACATCAGATCACTCCTGATGAAAACATAAGACTGGAGTATATAAGGACTCAAGATTCAACATCAGATCACTCCTGATGAGAAACATAAGACTGGAGTATATAAGGACTCAAGTTTCAACATCAGATCACTCCTGATGAAGACACTAGACTGGAGTATATAAGGACTCAAGTTTCAACATCAGATCACTCCTGATGAAGACACTAGACTGGAGTATATAAGGACTCAAGTTTCAACATCAGATCACTCCTGATGAAGACACTAGACTGGAGTATATAAGGACTCAAGTTTCAACATCAGATCACTCCTGATGAAGACACTAGACTGGAGTATATAAGGACTCAAGATTCAACATCAGATCACTCCTGATGAAAACACTAGACTGGAGTATATAAGGACTCAAGTTTCAACATCAGATCACTCCTGATGAAGACACTAGACTGGAGTATATAAGGACTAAAGTTTCAACATCAGATCACTCCTGATGAAGACACTAGACTGGAGTATATAAGGACTCAAGATTCAACATCAGATCACTCCTGATGAAAACATAAGACTGGAGTATATAAGGACTCAAGATTCAACATCAGATCACTCCTGATGAAACATAGACTGGAGTATATAAGGACTCAAGTTTCAACATCAGATCACTCCTGATGAAAACTAGACTGGAGTATATAAGGACTCAAGTTTCAACATCAGATCACTCCTGATGAAGACACTAGACTGGAGTATATAAAGACTCAAGTTTCAACATCAGATCACTCCTGATGAAGACACTACGCTAGAGTATATGTAAACTCATCTTTCAAAAACATATCGTTTATACTCAAGATATTAGATAGACGTACGACAATCTATAATGTCATATAAATCACGATAAAAAATCTGGTCCCCGGAGTCGACATGCTATCAGGCAGGCAACAAACAAAGATGAGATAGCTGTACAAACCTGTATTATCGCAGCAAAGCTTCAAATCTTTAACAAGATGATTATAGATGTATAACATGAAAATAGCGATCAATATTAGTAAAGTTGGCTTAAGGATGTAATTTAATGTAAACATACGTTGAAATTAAACAGTTGCAATTAACTATATCGTATAAATATCCTTCCCTATTTAAAATAATCTACACATTTTCCTCAATAACGAACTATACACATTGCTGCATTTGACCTCGGGTGTGTTGGGGAAACGTCATGTAAGGAGTCTCAAAGTACCAATATAAATTAGCAAACTTTGTGATCTATCTTACCAAATTGACTTAAATTGAGCAATAAAAAAATCTTAATCTTCAACAAAGCATATCCAAAGATTTCTATGAATGTATAAAAGTATACAATCGTTAAAAGATCACGCTTGCACGCTTTTTCTTCACCAACTGAGCAAAGATTCTCTTTTCTTTGAACTGCTTGTCAACAATCATTGAAAGATTATTCAAAAACTCTTCTGAGGTTATCGTTTGTGCCTATTACGTAGGTTTGAGGGACAATATAAGTACATGCATGTACAACAAAGAACACGGGTGAAGGCTTTAATTCGTATTACTTACTTTCGAATACAGCGCATGTGCAAGGAATGGTAGTTTACGAAGAGTTCGACCACTTAGTTGATAACTTTTTCTAAACAAGAAAATGAGAGAAAGAATACTTCGTAGGTTTATCACAGTGAGACGCTTGACTGCTCCTTGCAAGTTCAAAGGAGAAGGGCCTCCCAAAGAAACCTAACCAAAAGTCAACCAATATTCGTGATTATTTGAGAGTGGTCCATTACTTGATAACTACTGACTACGATAACAAAGAAAAAACATCTTTACGCCTTAAATGTAGATGTAATACAAAGTTAAATTTTATTTATGTTGCAAGTATTAAGACGGTATATTTTAAACCTCAGTCCTAAATTATTTGAGAACTCATCTGAACATGCACAAACAACTCAACAAACTGTTCGAGTTTACAATCATGGCAATGACAAACAGAACAAGCTTGCATCCTTCTGTGGTTCACTTGGTCACATATTGGGAAATCATAAATTTCAATTATAATGAGGAATTTAGTCATTTAACAAATTTTTCATATTCATAGTGATGGCAACAACAAGCTGGACCTATTTTCATCACTTACTGAGTAATTAATCGCTTGGTCACAAAAATATAAGAAGATCATCT